ATAAACAGGTAGGAGATAGGGAGGCGACAGCACGTGCAGGTAAAGAGGTAGGGTTTTAACGAGCACTTACAGTAGTCACTGCTACTTTACGTTGTTTAAACGTGTTAAACACAGCTTCAATAGAATAGCATCAGCTCCTCTCTCTGTTGCCTCAGGTTTGAATACCTCAGAGTGGAACTGAGCAACACAGACCGGGAAGGTCACAGGTTAGTTGATTGCAGCCAAGACAGCAGTGGGGCTCCAATTGGCCTCAGCATCTCTGCCCCTGGGCGAGGAAATCAGTCAGCGATCCTGCTGTCCAGCTCTCGTGCGGATTTAATATCAATAATAATAATAATAATAATCCTTGTATTTGATACAGCGTCTTATCACTTTGTGGAGATGTCTCAAAGCGCTTCCTAGGATACACTGTAAAGTAGATTGACTGCATTTTGTAGGCGAAACACCTCAGTCAGTGGCTAGGAGCAGTGTCCCACAAACAGCCATGGAACGAGTTAAACACCTAGTTGTGCAACAACTTCCCCACCTCCACACATTGGGGGATTGTTGACCAGGAGAGAGAAACTCCCTTCTCTTTTCGAATAGCGCCACAGGATCTTTAACATCCACCTGAACAGGCAGAGATGGGACCTCGGTATAACCGAAGGACGGCACCTCCGACAATGCAATGGCTGACAGCTCGCCAACCAATGCTGGGGTGGGTAGGGCAGACTGGTTGGGCTGTAGGAGATCCAAGAGGTAGCATGTCGCAAGGCACAGATAGATGGTGATTAACAAGTGGAACAGGACTATCAGGAAAGCTGGGTCAAGGTAGAACCATGAGACTCTTTGGAGAAAGCTTGATGCTGTAATGGGAGCACAGTTGACTAGGGATGTTTCTTGAAGGAGAGCAAATCCGCCAAAGAGCCTTTTAATCCAAACCTCTTGTAATCTCGTGACACGCACCGTCCAGGCTCGAATGCGAGGAATTCTCACTTGTACGAGATATGAGGCCGACAGATGCAAACAGAGAAGTTCAGTTCGTTCAGCAGAGAAGTGGAGAAGGGGAAAGGGAGCGGCTTTAGTTCAGGTGTGACATGGGGGCAGAACCGGGTTATAAACCAGGCGAGGATTGCCTGTCTTAGTTAGTCTGGTGGTTGGGAGGTTTAACTTGACTCTGTTCATTACCTCCGCCTGGGCTCACTCTGGAGTCCTTCTTGTTCCACATTAATACTAACCTGCTATTAGTCATCTTTAATATTACACAATCCGCGGTGCCTTTTAATTTTATTATTCCTTATTAAAAGCATGTTTTATTTGCTGTTGTAGTTTCATAATTAAACTTTTGACAAAACCTAATTTTTCTTTTCTGTTTAACAATTAATTGGCATCTTCCACCTGAATAAATTAAATAAATCAGTACTCTGGGGACAAAACAGCATAATCCGTGAAGGAACATGTCAGGAAGTGAGAACATATGTGGGGGGGGAGGGGGATGTATGTGTGTGGGGGTGGTGGGGTTATGTGTGTGGGGGTGTGGGGGTCTTTGTGGGGCGGGGGTTATGTGTCTGTGTGTGTGGGTGGTGATGGTGGGGGTATGTGGGGGTGGGGTGGTGGTGGTGGGGATATGTGTGGGGATGGTGGAGGTATGTGTGTGTGTGTGGGGGGGTGGTGGGAGTATGTGTGTGTATGTGGGGGTGGTGGGGTTATGTGTGTGGGGGGGTGGGGGCATGTGTGTGTGGGGGGTGGGGGTCAACAACAACTTGTGTTTACACAGCGTCCGTCGCACAGGAATTTAAAGCGTTGTCTTGGAGCAAGCGAGGGGGGGGGGGTGACCATGTGCGCAATTGTCTGCCATGTTTCTCACACAAAATATACAGTCAATTCATTCACAGTATATTCCGTGAAACGCTTTGAGACGTCTCAAGCCCGTGATAAGCCGCTGTATCAAATGCAAGGATTATTATTAAGCGCAGGTCTCTCTGATCGTGACTTTAACTCTAACTTTCTTTTAAAACAAAATCCTTGCATTTTGATAGAGCACAGGTACAGCTGCCATGTACCTCTCCCTCTCCCCCACCCACCCAGTGTATAATAATAATAATTATTGCATTTGATACAGCGCCTTATCACGGCTTCAAGACGTCTCCAAGCGCTTCACAGGATGTACTGTAAAGTGAATTGACTGTATATTTTGTGGGCGAAACTCGGCAGCCAATTGCGCACAGCAGTGTCCCCACAAACAGCCGTGGATTGAAAACGACCAATTTATTATTGTTCTTTCTTTCTTGAGGGATTATTATCAGGGTGTGGAGTAAGGAAACTTGCTCAAGGTTTCGCCGGGAATCGAACCCAGGTATCTCGCTTGCGAGGCGAGTGCTCTAACCTCCGAGCTCCAGGACTCCTCGCAATTTGCAAGGATAATATAAGAATAATCCTCGCACTGATATCTAAATGCTGTGCAGCTGAGCTTTAACCTGAGTTCTTCGAGCTGAACTCTTGGCGATTGATGGTTAAACAATTGTCTGGGTATCTTCCGCATTTCTTTTCCTCTCAAAAGTGCTCGTCTGAACTTGTATTGAACTGTAACCGAGTCAGTGGTGGGGAGGAGGGGAGGGGACCCGGGGGGGGGGGGGGGGCGAAGGCAAAGCAAGGTCAGAATTTAACCCTCAGCCACACAGAGCCGCGGAGCTTCCTGCTGCTGTGGCCACGGACTCTGGAAGTGAGAGAGACCGACCCCCAACCCACAGGTCACGTCTGCAATGGGAGGGAGTGGGGGGAAGGGGGTCGTTTCGCAGCATTTTATGTGAAATCTGCGAGTCACGGGTAATGAGTTAAACTGGGAGGTTTCCAGGAACAATGAGCTGCTTAGCGTGTTGTCAACCCCAGGATCAGCTCAGCCGTCGGCCGGTCACTGCCCACTGGGAGTCGGCTGCAGAACTTCCCTCCCGCAGCTGAACTCGGTCTGACCCGGGTTCAATGTGCGGGAAGACGTCAACCAGGATTAGCGCAGTCTTCAAGACGTGTGCTTTCAAAAAGCGTTTGCTCTTGTTTTGAGACTGGGGAACGAAGTTGTGTATCTGG